ATATCAATTTTAGAGAAAATCGTCTGAACGATTTAGGCACACAAAAGAATAGACGGCACATGTGGCAAGCTTCAGATATTCCCATCACCGTACCTACCTTACACGGCCTGCCTGCGCCTTTTCTTTCGTCGCACAGCTATATAAACTGAAACGATTTGTTTTAGAAAGCTACACCTTCATTTTTGCCCCGGCCGGGAATCGGACCTGGAAACGCCTCACAAAAAAGGTAGCACGCTGTCCATCAGCCACCCAAGGGGTCTTTATTGTCTATATGTTGTTATTATTGTCTCTACGGTGTTCACTATAGATACGGATGCTGTTATCGTTGCACTTTTTGTTGTATACACTTTTGTTAGCTTTTTTTGCATGTCAGCCACTTGTCCATTGTACTAGAATAGTTTTTATGCACACCAATAACACTTATCGGATACGTAAGTCGACAAAAATGTAATCGAAGATAAATCTGTGGTGAGCGCAATGTTGTGTATGTGTTGTTGTGTGTGTGTGTGTGTGTGTGTGTGAGAGAGAGAGAGAGAGAGAGAGAGAGAGAGAGAGAGAGAGAGAGAGAGAGAGAAAGAGAGAGCACGTATCTGTGTCTATTAGCAATATTTTAGGGATTTGTTTTCCCATTTGAAAGTGGAGAGTTTGTGGAATAGAGAGGAAAATATTATAAAACGTAAGGGCAGATTGATGCGAGTTGCGTTTGAGATTATGTCGAGTTAGTGATGTAGGTGATCGTTAGCATGATCCAGTGTACTTTGGTATTGGTCCGTAAGAAACAATTTTGGAAGGTGTGAAGTTTCTAAATGTAAGATTTCCTGTTGGTCTCCAGATTGGGCTTTCGCGCTTGAGTATAGGTCTGATTACGGCCTTGTATAAATGAATACCGGTATGGATTTCGATGGCTTAAACAGAAGTAGAATTGGTAGAATTGGGAACAGTGGGTGGGTTCGTTGTGTGGCAAGAAGAAGTTTGTGAAAGGTATGAGCTTTCCCGGTAAGTCGGTCAACAAGGACTCCAAGGTACAATTATTTAATTAGTGTTGGATGGTAACCATGAGATGGATGTAAAATTATTTATAATTGAAGGCGCGAGGGGGAGATGTCTGTGTAGGGACAAGAGTTTGATTTGAATTTGTTCCGCCTTTTGTTCGGCCACTTTGGGATTTGATCCAAGAGGTTATAAACATGAAAAGTTGCTTCATATAGAACTAGAGATGTTTAATATACACGTATGACTTGGTCGTCAGTGAAGAGAGCAGGAGAGGCGTTTGTCAATACCTTCATATGTGAAGGTATTGAAAATGGTAATTGTACTGTACTTTTGTTATAATTCTTTACATGTAAAGTGTTAATGTGAAATGTTTTAATGTAATGTAATGCTGTTTAACCATTTGTCTGTTAGTCAATATTGGTAAATCGAAATATTTGTTTACGATTTTGAAGAGAGTTGGAGCTAACACTGAGCCTTAAGGTACACCGGCCATGACTAGAAGCGGGGAATGGAAGCTGCACATAATGGATGCTGCCTTTCACCTACGCCTCCGCTTCAGGACTGTACAAGGAAGTGCACGTGCCAGAAGGAAAGGCGCTCGAAGCCCAAGGATACTCAGTCCTCAAGGTCTTCGAGTCAATGATCCGTTCGGGCGCGTGCTTCGGACGTCTAGAGAACAACGGGCCAAAGTAAATTCAATGGAGATAGCGCGCTTGAATTTGAAAAGTGTAATTTGTACTAAAGGCTATGCCGATTGCGAGGAAGCATTAGCTATGGATGTTGGTATTCAAGGAAAGGACGTCGCCGTGTCAGAATCTGGGAAATTTATGAATAATAAAAACGAATTGAATACATTTTGAAACTAAGAATACGCATTTTATGACGGATCATTTAGCTTGAGAATTATCTTTGAACTGGCATTGCTAAAAATACGATAAATTTATGAATTACTATTCCGCTTCTGATACACTCGATTATAATATGAACAGATCAATCAATACCTCATTATTTTTATGTCGCAGAAAAAATACATATATAAATAGTCCCTTAGTAGTCGAACTGAATATGATGGCCAAACATAAACGTATTTGGGAAAGTAGTACATCTAGAAGAACGTATTAACGAGTTTTTTAAATATTTTAATTGAAAACGTCTAGTGTCTCTTAGGTAAAAGCTTTTTCGTTTTGAAACGGGATGTAAAATTTTTCCACTATTCACAATTCGCTATTCCATTTAACGTTTTGAATCAACGTTTCTCTTTCATTACTGGCTCAGTATTGTATTTACAGGAAAATAGTAGATTAACATACACATACAAACACATATACGCTGACGCGATCAGACAGTTGTCTGTCAGTCCAAGTGCCGTCAGACGGCCGGGCGCGGCCCCCGCGCGGTCCCCTGATCCGGCATGCAGAGCAGGTGGAGAATGTTCTGATTTCCTTTATGGCACAAATGCCCCGTTTTTTTCATTGCTCATTATAAATATTTCCTCCTCACCCACAAGAGTTAACCATTAACTACTGACGTCGGGTCAAATTGACCCAAGAGCATTATCTCTTTTTATTTTCCGAAAACACGGTGAATGTTGCGGGTTACATATAATCTCTTTTGATAACGTTACAATTCAGAACGTGCGATGAAAAATGTCGTTGTTTTTCTGGATTGCCCTTTCTGGCTCAACGTCATCGTTAGTGTTCCTGCTCATTTCGATGTAGCAGATTTGCTAGCGTGGTGGCTTAGCGATAACTCTGCGTTCGCGATTCATTTTAGGTAAGTGGTGAAAACTGCTTCCGGTGGGTGGAAGCGCAATTAGCCATTTTGGAATATTACGTAACAATAAGCCGCAACCTCTCGAAATTTTGCCAAGTAAACAAAGAGACGAAAATTGAAACGTGTTTGGGTTTTCAAAAGAGGTATAAATGACATCGTATGTACCACACATATTACGATCTGTTATTTTTCCACTATTCACAAGAAGATTGTCGAACGCCCAAGACCCTTGCAGAAGTCTTAAATTGTAACATTTTACAAAAATTTTACAAAACGTGAAGTGGACACTTGCGATCAGCTGTATAGTAATTGCAGTGTAGGCAGGAAAACAAGGAGGTGCATTATTTTATTTTGTAAACGAGACGATTTTTATTTTTACATTTAATTCTACGTTGGATGAACTATTTCCTCCCAAAACATAGAAAGGGCACACTTTTAATGGATCAGAATGGTTAGGTCCATGAGATCCAATGCCAGAGCATGTGTTATAGAGCTAACACCCGAAGTAAGAAGGTTCTAAAAGGGATATTGGAATTGGAAATACAGAATACTGCTAGTAGTAATTCACTTTGTAACGAAGTTTGTGAAGGTCTGTTTTGTCAAATGGTGAAGTGCAAGAAGGGTCGTAAGATGATATTGAAACCATTTGCACAGTCTGGTCGGTTAAATATTCCAATATACCACCCTGTGATGTTATTGTGGGTTTTTTGTAGGGCGGAGTAAACAAAACCTTCAGTTCAAACGTTATAGATGTCATTTATTAACACTGTATTTCAATGCAAGTTATGCCACATCACTTTTGCACATGATAGGTATTATATACACGAATGTAAGGACGAATATTATTCTATTTATTTTCCGTTGACAACCCTGTTTTCGAAGGAATTTATTTAGGAAACCAAAGAAAAGCGGACAAGAACCCGTACCAACATAACCTAAGACAATAGCAATCTGACAATTTTCACAAAGAAATACAGGTAAGGCATGAGTGTAAATAGATATTTAAAGTGCAGATATCTCAAGCAATAGTTTGAGGAAAGAACATCAGAAACAAGCAAATTTTGAGTATCTCTGCTCGTAATAAAACAGAGGTTTGGGAAAAGAATTATAATAAAAAATGAAAGACGGTGAAATCTTCTGGAAGGGAAAAAGAAATAGGTTCCTTCCTAGGTCAGAAAGATAAAAAAAGGATTCATCATTATCTAGGTTATTGTTACGCTCCCTGGGGAACACCTCGTTCATTTTCCCCGCGATGAAATCTCGTGCCTTCTTCCACACAAGATGCGAATTTCCACGGTTCATTCCCAAGCGTGCGACATTACGCAACTCTCCCCCACCTCTCGTCTCCCTCTCTCTGCGCCGCCCCCCTCCGCGTATGGGAAACCGGCTCCGCACAGCGGCAGTGGCGTGCGCCTCGCCGATGAAACCAGCGGTGAAAGTGGGCGGAGTGATGAACGTTTGGAGGACCTTCGCGGAGTCCCTCGGCACTGACGCTTTCGTGTCGCGTAGCGTGTCGGCGCCCCGACGCGTCGGAGGACACCTCGTCAAGGCGTCGCTACTCCACGCCGCAAACCACGCCCACCTCATGGACGAACCTACTTGCTCGCCCGAACTAGACTCGAACGAAAGACCATTTACGTTTCTTTTAAATAGAAATAAGATGAGAAAATAGTTTACGCTGTCCAAGAAAAAAAATGAAGTTTTAACAACGTTTACATTTTGTCATCGCGACTCTAGTCGCAAACCACTCCCACCCCGATGGGCGAACAACTTGCTACCACCAACCATTCGTGTTAGGGGAGAGGGCATATTTTTGAAAAGTGAACATTTTTTTACCGAAATAGGCCGCAAGCATGCACATGCTTTTTATTATAACTTGTTTATTTCGATGTATTGCGATTAGGATTGATTCACTGTAATAAGGGTGTTGGTGCTTTAAATGTATGGTATGTAGAGTTAGGATAAGTCAGAAAAATCGTTGGTAATTGTTATTACGAGTACATTGCAATTGTAGCTAGACTAACACGAAAGAACATTTAAAGTTATGTTAAAGAGATATTGGATTATAGTCCAAGAAAAATGGAATTTTTAACAATATTTAAATTTCAAAATAAAGAAAATATGTATATATCTACTGTTTTTAACAAAAAAGAAATGTTTGTAAAAAATGTATTTCATGTATACTATGTATATAGTGTACGTTTATTTCATTTCTTGTGCTTCTTACCCAATTTCTAGGAGGGGCAAGTCGCCATGAGCACTCTATGCTTGCTACTCTTGTGCCAACGACCAGTAATTTCGTACACTGGCCGGTTCATGGGCACGCGCGCCTGCGGCTGTCGGTGCTTTAAGCGCATTCCTTGGAAATGTTTGACACTTGTCAATGTAGGTCAGTGTTTTTCTTTTCTGTAGCACTGTAATTGAAAATCTAGCAGACGTCCATGCAATTTGACAAATTCTTTGCTCATGTATTGAAAAGTTTATTACATTCATGCAATTTTTTTTTGTAATTTGAATATAATTTGTAATTTATATATGGGTATTTAAATATGAATAAAAGGTATTTGTTACACATGAAGTGATCGTATTGATACTTACACTAGTTTTATTTTCACTTTCTCGTGGTACATCTGTGAGTGATTGATTATTCCTAATGTATTAGTAGAATATGATGTTGAGGGTATGACTATAATTTAAGGAGTCAAAACAAAGTGTTAATTTTTACCGGTAAACAAGTACGGGCTTAAACATCGCATCACATTGGAATATAACAATCATTCATTCCATAGCATTTCAATCTTGCTTTTTTTCAATTACTTATTTTAGATCGCTTAAAACACATCTAAGACAATCTTGCTTTGTTTCGTTTTGTATCAATTTGCGACGTTACACTTGTTTCTACGATATTTAAAACAATCACTTTTCATTTACTGCTTGCTCGTCACGGTAAAAGTCGCGGTAAAAGTAATGATTTTCGTATAATACATTTTACTAATGTTTCAAGTCATTGGTTTTGTGAAAGTATGAGTGGTCTTGCCACTGAATCTGCCCATTTTCACGTATCTAAAATAATAAGTGACTCAAGTATTTGATTGTTATTTGCCGAGATCGCCTTTTCTTCAAAATTCCGGTCACTTATTGTTTCTGTATTCCTATGCATACAGATAATTTGGTTAAATTCTTACGTACCAAGTGCTAATAAATCATATATTTGAGACCATTACAGAGCAAATTAAATTATGTTAATCCCGAGTTTAAAGTACCCTGAACACACACACAAACACACACACATCACACACACACACACACACACACACATATATATATATATATATATATATATATATATATATATATATGATATATAGTGAACCAGAAAAATATTACTTTAGAGGATCTCTCTGAAAATAATGGAAATGATGAAATGATAAATATGGAAACTGTAAAAATTAGTAAGAGCAGAAAAGAGCATCTTTTAATGAGCTATTCAAAAAAATTAAAATTATGAACTTATTAACTTAGAAACTTTTTAACATGTTCTCTTCTTGAAAAATAAATATTTCTTCCCATTTTTAATTGCTTAATCGTGAATGTTTACCAAACTTATAGCTAATTTATTTTTAATAATTTAGGTGTGTCGACTCCAGGATTTCATGGCTCTATAGCGACTCAAAAATATTTCGCTTTTCTAGTAATCATGTTCCTTTCTTGGAGACGACATGCCCGGGCTATGTTGTGAAAATGACGTGAAGGGTAGAAAATATCGTAATCAAAGTAGACCTGGATGCAAAGTTACGTAATGATAAATCAGCGGAGAAAAACCAGGAAACGTTGTACATGTAACACAGGCGTCCAACCAACAAGAACTGGTCGCAAGACCAAATATGCGGTAATACAAGAGGTGAGCCACAGATTGCAGTGATATAAAAACATATTTTTTTTACAAAAATTTAACACAAAAATATTTTATGCTCCCCTTAATTTACGTTCCTTTCTTCACACTTGTCCTTCTTCGGCACACCTGCAGCCTTTCCTGCAGATATCTGTCATTTGATTTTAGTAGCTTCGCCAATATACTTAAAAACATTCTGACAACTTCCTTGATTTTTATTCGCTAGTAAAATATAATCGAGCATTTTATTTATGCTTGTTTACGTAACTCAGAAAAAAATTCTTTTGTTTATTTTGAATTATTGCGATAATGATTGATTCGCTGTTCGAAGAATATTGGTGATTAAAATATTTCTCCGTAGAATGTTATTTTTATGACATTTTCAATGAAGGCCATTTTTAATCCTGGAATACTCGCACAGAATATTTGGGTATCCTAATGTCGATGTGTTTTGTGTTCTCGGATAGATGATTCATGCAATCTGGTGTATGTATTACTTAATAAAGCCGTAAAATACACACACACACACACACACACACACACACATGCTGTATGCTAACGAATTATTTGATTGTTATTGCAGTAGTCACCCGCGCACCCTTGAAAGATCCGCCAAAACAGAGTTCTAACGCCACTAAAGAGAGGGCCCGCCGCGGCGCCGTCTCGCGCAGCTAAGAACCACAACGCGCGCCACAACCCTTACCCCTGGGCTAGCCAGCGGACTCTTAGCCCCAGCGGGCTATAAAGCGGCGCCCCAGCGAACAGAGAGACAGTTTTTCAATCAGACAAAGCTCCGGCTACGCTAAAAATTTTTCAGAAACATGTTCTTACCATAGGGCATATACGACAAGTTCTTCCCTCAGACAGACTAAAGGCATAGAGCCAAACACAATCTAAAATGACATAGTCACAAACATGACTAAACAAATCGACTAACTGGCAAACGACTTAAGTCCGTCGCGAACCTACACGAACAATTTACACCTAGCAGTAAAACGCAAAAGGCGTGTGCACTGCAATTACGATCAAGTATCCTCTGATCAATACGATCATGATGCGATCGAATCATCACACCGACCTTCGGCTACGCCGGAAAAACGAAAAAAGTCAGTCAGCGCCTATCGGCAGTATAGTGAATGCGTGCGAAATAGTGATTAGTGGCAACGAAGCGACGAAGTTGAGCGGACTCTCTCTTCTGGACGGTAAAATCTGGACTACTGCAGCGAACATCGGACATCTTACTGGTTAACGGCGATTTTGGCTTTCCCTGGTATATCCCTTGGAATATTGTAAAACTCGCTAATGAATGGTTTCGCTGTACTTGTGTAAAACTGGAATAAATCTGTTTTTATGAAAAGTATGTTTGTGTTGTACATTACAGTTATGGCATAGTGCAATCGCAAAGTGCACTCTGCACACTCAGTTCCGGAACTAGGAGTGATAACCAATGTCTTCCGAATTATATCTATTGCTGCCGAGGTTTTCGCAGAACTGTTAATGTGCGTGAACTGTCAACTGTGGTGAATCAACTCTGTCTTTAGAACGTAGCTTCCGCGGCAGATGGTTTACGTAGGAACAGTGTGCTTTGCCTCTCAATGAACATCATTCTTTCGGGTCAAAGAAACACTTTCCTTCATTGCATGATGAGGTGAAAAACTGTTTTTATATCACTATTTCTCATATAGTGACCGGAACGTATTCTTATACTTATTATATGAACGTACTGTATTGAAGAGAACGTTCTGTCTCTTCTTTCCTTTGGTTTTCTTCATGGTTTGGTTATCTAAGGCTGGCTGATAGAGATACGTTGCTCGAGTTAAACTCCTTCCAACAATGCAATCGTAGGCTTCCGCGGCCAGTCATGTCAATGCTCTCGTCTGTCCTAGTGACACCGTGTCGAGAACAGTGATGCCGGCCGGCCTTTTGACCATCATATCGTGATCTTCATCCAGCCCTGAAGAAGTCCAGGGTGATGGGTGAAACATCGACATCACTGCCCCCGGCGCTGCGGCACCCGGACAGCCGAGAGTCTTTACTCGTCACAACAAGCCATGCGAATAGCGGAGAGTTAACATGTCGTCCGGTCCCAATGGTATGGGCGTCAGAACACTGGCTTTCGAGATCCGAGTTGATGGGTCCAAACCCGGATGCGGAGGATGTATTCTCGGAAAATTATGTATATTATATCATGCCTGTCGGATGTACACGAAACCTTGCCAAATACCCTGGAAAACGCAATTCTCAGACAATTCCCGTCTCAACCATAACTCGTATTTACTTACCAAGGTAATGACGCAAGAATCAGATAAAATGACTGAGGCTGTTGTTGCGACGAGCATGGGAGTCTAATAATAGAAGTTGGTAGCTTTGGTTTCCCATGTGGTACCAAACATGATAATGCTCAACACCTGGAGTGGAACTTGTCCGGAGTAGGTAGATGGACAGATTACAGAGACCAGGCATTAAGTGACAATGACAGCAACAACAACAATCTTTATCATGCTCCTAATTGAGATTTCTCTGGACATTCACATTCAAACATTCGAGCTCATCTTCCCAAGAATTAGGTATTGATCACTTACCTGCGCGAAGGTCCGTACTAGGTGAGTAGTTGCGGCCTCCTCCAAATCCGTGGATGATGATTTTGGTAGTGTGTTTGGGGTTGTATTGTGAATTGGTGAGAGATGACTGTTTCGTTACATCTAGAAGTTCAGGTTTGTCCTTAGTGCTCCTGGAACATACAAATATTTTATTTTATTTTCATTATATTTCTCATGTTTCTACTGACTGCAAAATTCTTCTTCTCAGAAAGATTTGAGACATGTTATACTTTTTAAAGAATAGAAGCCATTTAAGGTAATGCATGTTCTTCAGAGAATTTGTTATTTTGTGTAGTTGTGAACTATCAAATGTAAAACCTCTTCCCATCATCAAAAAGCTCCTCCCAAGTCACCTCCTTCCCAAATCCGTGCAGCAAACTATAAATTTGTGTATTGACTTGTGGAGAGATACAAAGAAAGGAGGAAAGAGTGATGAATTTTTACAGGATTACAACGACAGACGCCCTCCAGAGTTGGTAGAGACTCTCTTCAAAAGGTAAATGCTTTCACTGATCTACCAAAGGATGTATTTTTTCGTGTATAAACAATCAATATACAGAGAATTGTTGCAATACAAAACAAATATGGGAATAATTATCATACTTATTTATTATGCATTAGGTTTACTAAAAAAGTATAGGGAAATAGTGTGTTTCATTACATTATTTCGTATTGTAAATAAAAATAATAAATCATTTTACAAACTTAATAGTATTTATCACATTACTAAGAGGTACTTCTTATTTATAAAATAATTGTATATTTTCTTAGTCATTAAAGAAATAGTTTGAGCGCTCGGGAATCTGCAGTTTCAAAATTTATCACCTTACATTTTTAACAGCAAAATATAGCAAAAGGACTCAACTACTGTTCCAGAGTTAGAATATCTATATCTAAGGCCCAGAAACAAAATAAAGACTCTTTATCCTATAATGAATGAATGCAAAACTCAACACTATCCATTATTAGTATGCTCAAGGAAACTTACAAGGTATTAACAGACAGAACCCTCAATGATAGATTTACTAGACTTATGAAGAAGCTGCAGAAACAGTTACCTGAATCATATTTGTCTAACACTGAATCTAGTATGGACAGCACATAATAATCTTTGTAGAAAAACTGTCAGACAGTAATAACTAATTATATCTCTACCGACAAATTGCAACAAAAAGTTAGGAAATTGTTCAATGGATATCACTGCTGCCCAGAAAATCTACAATTACTATGTAACAATATTAATCCGGACATATTATGTGTGCATGACACCAATTTTAAATTTACTTATTCAGCAAATTTTAGTAATTATGTGTTGTTATAATATAGAACAAACACTGAATATGCATCTGGTGATGTTGCTGTGTTTCAAATCATTCATTCTGGCAGAGAATATCCAGATCAAGTCAAACTTGGAGGCTATTGCTGTGAAAATTACCTCACCTATTTGTCTGCATATATGTAATTTATATATTTCCAACAATAACGATCTGGAATATTCGGAACTTACTGATATACTTAAACAACTTCCTGAACATCATTGATTGCAGGTGATTTTGATGGTCATCGCGCAGTATGGGGCTCATACAAGACTGAGAAGTGGGGCATATTGTTAGAAACTTTCGTAAAATATACTAATTTAATTATTATTAACACTGATGAGCCCACCCATATCAATATTAGCAATGATAAACTTGATGTCATTAATTTATCTATTGCCTCGACTTCTTCTACCCCAAAGTGCACATTGAATGTACTCAATTTCTCATATGATAGCGATAATTTTCCGCTTATTATCAAAATCGACACCATTAACTTCAATAACAATTCTTTTTCACCCATTGACAGACTGAACTTCTCTACCCACCTCCAAATCGATCTTACATTCTTAATGTACCAATCACAACACATGAATGAAATAATCAATTCATCTAATAATTCAGCATCTGGACCTGATGGAGTATCCAATATCTTGTTTAGAAATCTCCCCACTGAAGGGAAAGAAGCCCTGCTCAAGATATATAATTATATGTTCTCATGCCAAACCTTTTCAAATACATAGAAAATTGCAACTGTTATCCCCTTCCCATAACCAGGTAACGTACGGTCTAACTCCATCAATTACCGTCTAATTGTCCTAATTTGTAACCTCTGTAAGATATTGGAAAATATTATAGACAGAAGATTAAGTTGGTATTTAAACCGTTACATCATCGAGGATTATCAAGTTAGTTTCAGACCCGGGTACTCCACATATTCACATCCAGTGATTGTAAACACCTACGTTACCGAAGCTACTCATAACATATCATTTGTAAACCTGGACGTTCAAAAGTCTTATGGCATCGTCTAGATACCCGAATTATATGGTCTCTTAGGAACATTGGTATCAGCGGCAATATTCTTCAATTTATCAACAACATTTTACAAGTAATCGATTCATTGAGGTCTGAGTCAATTATCATTTATCGGGTAGAGTCATGCTAGAAAACGAGATTCCGGAAGGTTCCATCCTAAGTGTAACTCTATTAATATCAATTATCGATGCTGGGCAAGTAATTAAGTCACCCACGATCATACATAAGTATACAGATGATGTGATCATGCTCAGTCCTCCCCTATACTCAGGACATTACTCAAGAAGCTTTGAACTCAATCCACAGCTAGTCAGTAACTTCAGGATTTATTAACTCCCCAACTAAGTCTAAATGCATTCTGATGTCTAGACGAAAGATATCGGGCGATTTCCACTTGCAAATCGGCAATGTAATGATAAGTAGAGTTTTTCAACCAAAATACTTGGTTTTGTCTTCGACAGCAAGCCCTCCTGATATCAAGTTAGGGACCTCGTCAATGATTGCAAGAGACAAAAGAACATACTGATATGTTTGAGCCATTATAATTGGGGAGCAGACAAACGTACCTCGCTCCTGACCAACAGAGGTATCATACGTAGTAAAATGGACTACAGATGCATATTATATTACAAAGCTAATAAACAACTACTCAAAATATTGGACCCAAAACATAACACTGGCCTCAGGATATATACCGGTGGCTTTCACACTACGCCAATCGGTAGCATCCTTAGAGAAACTTCGGAACCAAACCTTCAATTTCGTAAGGATTACTTGACCATGTATCTTAGCAAACTCATACTAGACACCTGAAATCATATTCAAAACTTTCTACGAAAATAACAACAGACATCATCAGGGACCATAAAATTCCACGTATATCAGTGGGAACACATAGAACTCCTAAATATCCCCCATGCGTCACATCGAATCTAACTATTGATAGCTTTTCCGAGGATTATCCCAACTCCAACTTGGCAACTTCTGATGCGGACCTAGTTCTGCAAGAAATATTCAACAAATCACGTTATGCGCATCCAAGACACGTCGGAAATGGATAGACTGTGTTAATTCATCCAATCTCCTTTGAAAACATTCCATATTAAGTTCAACATTTTTAGTAGCAAAACAGTGCATCTTAATGGCGATTAACTTTGCTAAATCCAACTGTAACAAGAAATCCATTATTCTATACACATATATAAAGAACGGCTTTAAAATTCCTCCCAATTATCATATGCCATTAATCCACACTAAACTGCTTGAAGTCTGCAAAGAGATCACTGATGCATGTATTACACCGGTGGTCATTCACATTACTTGCGAAATAGAAGCCAGATTCCCGACCAGCAAGTCCACATTACCTGCGTTAATCATTGATCTACAGGTGAAGAAAAGTGATTAAATGTATTTAATTAAGGACTACCTCAAGAACATTAGTCAAATAATGAAGATGTGGTCAATGCAGTGGACCGATTCTAAAATTAGGACAATCCACAAGGAAATAAACAAATTCTTTGCCCTCAGAACTTATGCAAAGTTTTCTCGTCGGAAACATGTCATTCTTTCTCTTATTCGATCAGGCCACACTAAATTCTCTCATAGTTTTATACTAAATAAAAAACCAATCCCTTTGTGTGATTGTTGCAAGAAAATGCTGAATGCTGAAATTTACCACATCCTAGTGGAATATCCCGAATATAATTCCATAAGACCCAAATATTTTGACTCTAAGAATTTAAACTCCATTTTAACAAACTATCTTTTCCAACTCAAGGTAATAAACGTTTGTAAAAAATAGGCATTCTAGATGTAATTTAATCTGTATATAATGTTATGTTTTCTCTGTTCTTATGCACAAACATCTATATGATTCCCTATCTCCGTAATATATCTTCGTAATAATATTTCTAAAAGGTGTCGTATCTATTGATTTCTGCTTCAACGAGTGTAATAAAGTAAAAAAATTCCAAAAATGTATCTCTAAATGTAAGATCATAATTGAAGTAAAAGCCCAATAAGCATTGTAATAATTAGGTAATTAATGGAGTCGTTAATAACCTCTGTTGTAGATGCGACTAAATAAAAGGGAAAAAAAATTTCAAGGCTCTCAATATTGATTAAAGAAATAAAAATTCTGAACAAATAAAATATTTTGTAAGTAATCGCTTCAAGTAATTGTAGCAGGAATCTAAATTAAAGTTACATTTTCACAATTACTTAGTATCTCCAGAACGGAAAAAGGTATATCTATAGCAAGTAGGAAAATTCTGCAAGGAACTTGTTAGTGTCATATTTGTTGAACCAGTATCGTTTGACGACGACTATCATAATATCATAAGTAAACACAATTGTTGCGAGGATTCGTGACTTCTAGGCTGTCCGGGTGACGCCGCGTCATTGGTACATAGGCCTATCTGCCAACGACGCGGCGTCACCCGGACAGCCTAGAAGTCATGGACTCGAGCCGCGGAAGCCTACGTGTACAGTTGCGAGGATTCATTTAAATGATATTAAGATAATTATCAAACGATTAATTACGTTTTCTGCATGAAAAACTTTGTTCCTCATATGTGTAGTTATTGCGAAGAAAGTGAAGGTGTCCTAAATAGCATCTTTGATCCGGCACGAAATCCGGTTGACGTGTTTCGCTCTTCAACTGAAAACTTTCTCATCTCCAACGCTCTTACCGGAAGTAATGTTATTCATCTCATTCGTTGCGGTGGTTCCTGGTTTCATTGTCTACAGGTTACACTTTACCAGGTGCAGTTGGGTATTCTTTTAAACGTCCCTTCCTATTGTAGCAAGGTCCTTAACGTTTCAAATCAATTCCCACCAATATCCATTGTTTCAATGGGCACTGTACACTTGTTAATTCGACATTGAATCCATCTAATAATTTGAATTCTTGGATACTTAGCTGGAAATTTTTTTCCCTTCATACTCTTCATTTATATTATATTTAAAAATATTACATTTAAAATTTATTTTCTGAAAGTTACATTCCAAAAATGCGAAGCCAGAGTTATATAGGTTTCAAAATAATAAATATTTAATTGCAATAATACTGACGAACTGACTTAACTGAATGAATAAAATGTCTAGAGGAATGAATAAACATGTTAATGAGATAATTTCTACAATATTAAATATTACAGTCGATAACAATATGATCGATTCATATTCTTTAAGTCACAGAACTCCGGGATTGTACATGAAGTCTTCAGGTAATAGTTTAGCCTCTACGTTTGGTAGATGGCCTGGGCCTTTAGGCATTGTTATATGTTTGTACTACGAAACACGTGAGTTAGCAAACGCTGGAAATGCTCACGAGAGAGGGTTCTGATCACACTTCAAATTCCACTGGTCATGATAAAGGTTTTTCGAGTTTCTACACCCGTGGCTCATCAAACTTCCAAGTCAAAAGTAGTTATTTCACCAGGAACGTTCTCAAAGATGCGAACAAATAATACATATCCATGTTGTCTGAAATGTGACAAAATGTTCAAGCTGTTGTGTAGTTATAGCGTGATGCATTATGTTGTCATACAATCACTGCAGTAGGCATAGAAAATATGAAATTATACTGTGGTAATACTTGATTTACTCGAAGAGTCTTCAATTAGGTGTAGTGGTAGTAAGATTAAAGTAACTTATACAACTTATAAAAAAAATAATAATAGGGTTTATCTCATTATTATTATAGGGGTTGGAACACATTTTCTTAATTCCCCTTATGAATTTACTCACGTCTCTCCCCTTATGAATTTACTCACTCGGCTTGCGGAATGTACTACACTTATTAGAATAATGACGTAAGTAGTTCATGCGCCCGGAAACAGTATTCACTCACTCAATTCTCTGTAATGACTTGAAATGTTTAACATAAAAGCGAAATGAAATAGTAAATGCCACTCATGTATTTTTGTACGTTGAAATCGAAAATATAACTAGAAATGCTCCATCACGCACAGTTTTTTCACAAATTGACTTTAATTGTGCAGTAGTTCACTGGCAGCTTTCTGTATTTAGCATACAGTTTATTAACGCCATCTCTGAACTGGTGATACAATTTCTGGACGACTGGACGACTAGCGACTTTTCATGGATTCATAAAAAATTTAAAAACAGTACTATTACCCAACGGAAACGAGTATGTTTCAGTACCTGTGCATTCAGTTCACCTCAAAGAAACTTAGGAAAATCTTGCACTGAACCTTACTACAAAATACAGTACGAAAATCACGGCTGGGTGAGATGTGGAGACCTGACGATTTTGTGCATGCTTCTTGCACAACAGTCTGGGTAAACAAAGTTTCCTTGTTCCTTTTGTGAACGGGACAGCCGTGGGAGAGTGAACCACTGGGACGAATGAGAATGGCCCCAAGAACTACTTCAGAACCACGAGGTAAGACTATTTCTAGGAAAGGTCTTATTGATACAAAGGAAATGGAGCTACCACCTGTGCATATAAAATTAGGACTCATAAAACAGTTAACTATAGCTTTGTCAAGAAATGGGACGTGCTTTTAACATCTCTGTGATAAGCTCCCACCATAAGAAGCCAAGATAAAGGAAGGAATTATAGTTGGACCAGACATGAGAAGACTTATGTCTTTCAATGTACCACCACGATCACAAATGCTGAAAAAAGCTTGGTTTTCCTTTAAAAAAGTGCTTAAGAACTTTCTAGTAAACAAGAAAAACCCGAATTATGCTCTCATTCTTAACAAATATGTTGAAGAACTTTAAATATTTGGGATGTTGGAAGAGCTTCAAGAATTACTTCCTGCATGTACATTTGGCTTTCTTTTCCGAAAATCATGGTGCGATGAGCGAGGAACAATGTAAACATTTTCACCAAAATATTAACTAGATGGAAAAGAGATATCAGGGTCGATAGAATGTAAACATGAAGAGCGACTACTGCTGGATGCTCTACCGGGACACGGGGCATACGTAAGAGGAAGAGTAATACTCGCAGCTTCACAGAAAAGAAAAAAATATTACAAGAAACTTTCATAATGCTTTTGGAAATAAAAAAAAATTAAATAGTTCGTATATTAAAAATTGTGTGTATTATTTGCTAGAAAACTGTGTTTTATTTTTCATAGACCCTAAATAATGATAATCTAATGTCGGTTAGCAAAAAACTTCATAGTGCATTGTGAAAAAATGGTGCTTGATGGGATAAGCTCAGATATGAAATCAGAACCCCCAAAAAACTATATATTTCGTAAACATTGCACATACTTTCTCATACATTTTAAAACAATAATAATTGGTAAAACAATAATAATTATATTGTCATTTATATCCTACGAGTAGATCAGTATTTCAGTCATCTCTTGCAAAACTCACTTCACCAATTGGCTTGTAATAGCGTACAAGTCCGTTAATTTTGTATAATATATGTCACTGAAGTGCCTCTGACCGGGAGGTCCTGATTTCGAGTCTCGACAGTGGGAGACATTCCGACACTAGCTAAAGTCTACTAGCTTGGTCGAATTCAGCTGCTGTCAGAAGGAGAATTCTGGCGGTCGACTGCTGTGATGGGTAGTTTTCCGTATTTTTTCTAACCACACCAGGCGGATGCCGGGGCGGTACCCTTACAAACAGGTCACGAACAACGCCCGATATTTCCTCCCTCTTCCTTGTCCTATCTTCATCCCCTTACTTAGTCACACTTACATACGCACAGTTACATGCATCACACTATCACATGTCGGGAGCTTAGAGCTTGTGCCGGCTGGGGCGTTGCCCCGCTGATGAGAGATACCTGGTTGAATTGAATTGAATTTGCCTTATTTTACGTTCGGAAAATCTCGCAAGCCGACGTGTAGACCGCCGCCAGATCTCGCCATCCAGCGATGGTAGATCATCCTCTCTTCCCGCGAAAAAACCTGCAGTACACTTACGGGACTAATGACCTTGACGCGCCCGGAAACAGAAATCAAAGTCCAACTCACCTAGTGTAGAGGTAGAACTGTATGCGGTAGTGCGGGCAGCGGATGGGCGGGTCGACGCAGGACGAAGTGCGGAAGAGATCGCGTACCGACGTGGGGCGTTTGGCCGTCGCGTTCCCGGCCGCGCCCGGCCCGCCCTGCTGCTGCTGCTGCTGTTGCAGCAGCTGCTGG